CAAACTGAGGTCCCCAGAGATGGAATCTGCCTCTCGGGAAGAGGGAGCTTATCTGGGGCCGACGCCCAGGGTGTGGCGGAGAGAGGATCTGGGCAGGCTCCTCTTCCCTGCCCCCCCGACGCTGGCCGGGGGCTCCCCACGCTACCAGCCCCGTCAGAGATCCGCAGGGAGAGTGGGATTGTAGGCCAGTCGACAGGCCCCGGGGTGCCCCGTGTCAAGGTAAGCAAATAGCATGTCTCAGTGAGGAGTCACGCCAAACAGAGATGGCTGTCCTGCCTTCCCTAAGCCGGCCTTCTCCAGCCCCACCAGAGAAAATGGAGGCAGCTTTGATGTGGGCGCCTAGCCTGGTGTGGTGGGCGGGGGCCAGGCGGGGTGTCGGCCCCAAAGCCTCGAACCTGCTGCCGCTTGTTTGTCGATGTAGGATCGTTGTTGAAAGAATTATTCGCCTTTTGTTGCTCTTGGAAATGCAATCAATACTCTGGTATCACAGCGCACGGCTCACAGGATCGCGCTGTCTCCTGGCACGGCCGCTCCAGACCCGTCGCCATCTTGCACCTGTTTTAAGATAGTGAGATGTCCTTGCATGGATGGGACAAGATGAGCAGTCTTGCAGGAGGGAGGAAAGGTTGACCAGAGCTGGGTGTGTACACATTCATCTGGAGTTCGGGCCAGGAGTTCGTCCAGCAGCTCCCGCGGCGGCGGCGGCTGCTGCAGCTGCTGCGGCTGCTGCGGCTGCTGCGTGTTGGTCCCCGTTGGTAAGTAACAGTCTCCACGGCTACAGTCTCTATGGCGGCCTACTGGGCATATTTTAAAGTTCAGAGAAGTGCTGTACTTTATTTATATAGAAGGTCAAAGAAAGGATAAGAATATTTGATAATTCAAACATTTCATTTTAATGTTCATATGAATAAACACAAAATATTCCAGGCAGATTGTGAATAAAATATTTTATGTTAATTGATGTGAAATATCACCAAGAAATAAGCAAAAAATTAAATTTCTTCTCTTCCCTATAAATTTATCAAATTACTTGTTTTTCTAAACTCACATTATAGTTCGAAAATATTACTTTCATTTCCATGAGTCATTAACTTTCATGAGAAGTAGTTTTATATAAAATCTGTAAACCATAGCATTTCTTCATTATTAACATATATAGGCACATTAAATCTACTATAAATGGATAGTCTGCTGATTAATATTTTAATTATATCTTGGGATTCTTGTGTCTAGGAAATATTTCTGAAAATTTTAATGTATTAGTTTAGGCATTTCAGAATAAATCCTGGAACAATTATAACTTTTTAACCATAAAAAGTTTTAAAATTGCTATGTAAAATACAAAGCAAATTTGGCAAAAAGATTGATATAAAAATTATATCTATTTTTATGGTACAGATTTCAATTCCAATTACTAACTTAAATAATATTCATTTTTATGTGGAGTACTTTTTTCTTTGTAGCATGCATATTTTCACAAGAATTTAAAAATTTAAGTACACACTAAGTGACAAAGGCTTATATTTTATGTTATAATAAAGGTTTACATTTTATTATTATATATCTGAGTTTTCAGTAACATAAAATAAAACATAGTGAAGCATATTACGCTCTCTTAAATAATCATTTTAAACTAACTTTTAGCAAATATAAATTGATAAATTAAAAACTCTAATTCTGACATCAGACACTATTACTTAAAAGATCAATTTAGCAATAATTTTTTTCTAACATTTCTTTATAGTTTAGACACGTCTTAGGAATGAACAATGTTTCTACTTATAAGAAAAAAAAAGAGTTTTGAAAATTTATATGATTTAAGGCAGGTATGCTCAAATTAAAATGTTTTCTTGAAAGCCAAATAAAGTTTTAGACCAAATATGAGATTGTAGGAAAAAAGTCACTTTATAACCTTAGCTAACTTGAAATTATTTGCATCTCTGAGACAAATCTTTCAGTAACATGTGTATGACATTACCCATTTCTCTAACAATTCATGTAATTTAACTTTGCTTTTATTAAGCATCCACATTCACATCTCTCTTAATATTTGCAGAAGAATGTGGTTTTATGATCATCTTTCTATTGACTCCTATGCCAAAATGGATCATTGTACCAAAAGAAAGGAAAGATCAAACAGGCATTTTGAAGTTATTTTTAGACATAAATGGAATGACCAAGTAAATCTTTTAAAACCAAAAATGTTCACTTCTTCTTTCCACTTGCCCAGGAATGGTATAAGACAGAGCAGTATAGAAGACTGGAGTGGGGAAAACAGACAAAACTAAAAATGGTATTTTTATAAGTGAGGAGTGATGGCTTTGATCGCCAGCATGTGGTCGAAGCAATAAGCTGCATGCAGACCTTTTCACTCACTGGTAGCCCCTTGGCCCCACTGATACTCTTTTCCAAAGCTGAGAACTATGTTTTTCAGAATCCCTTTCTCTATACAGTTCTGGGTTAGAGGTTGCCAATGAGAAGAACTTGCCGGAGAGTTGGAAGATGGAAATTAAAACGAAGCCATTATTTTTTCCAGAGATGTTTGCAGCTGGATGCTTGGACAGATGAAAGATTCAGTCTTTCCAGCAAATTTTTGAGAATGACACACTTTGCCTGATACAGTTACTGGTAGTTTTGAAGTTCTCTCATATTATAGAAGCTTCATTTGGAAAGCTTCTGAAAAGTACGTGCTTGGTGCTTTAGGCTGACGTCTTCAATATCAGCCTCTCCAACCTTCAGTGGCTGCCTTTTTGACCTCTACTCCTCACCCTCATGCCTATTGCTGCTTCCAACAGTCCTGCGAGTCCCTAATTCTGCATTAAACAAAGTATATCTGGAACACATCAAGTGGCTTCTGATGTGCTGACTGATCCCTGATGATACAGACATACTCATAGTTAGGAATGGGAAAATAATCAGTTTATTAAATTATGTGAATGGCTGGAATATCAGACACGTCAACTCAATATCCAAATATCAAATCATATTTCAAAGTGAAATTTAGATTACCTGGATTTCTTTCTTTCTTTTTTTTATATTTAAAAGATGACCAGTAAGGGGATCTTAACCCTTGACTTGCTGTTGTCAGCACCACGCTCTCCCAAGTGAGCTAACCGGCCATCCCTATATGGGATCCAAACCCGTGACCTTGGTGTTATCAGTACCACACTCTTCCAAGTCAGCCACAGGCCAGCCCTGATTACCTGGATTTCTTCTCTTCTTTTCTCTAACAATAACACCTAAGATAATTCTATATGTTATTAGTTTCTTCAGTTTTAAAAATATTTTTTAGAATGATGTTCAAATAAACTTTAAGAGTTCAAGATTTTCTGAATAAAAAGTTTCAGTTCTGAAGATATAAACTCTGTAGGGGCCAAGAGAAGATTTCCTCTTCACCACTGCAGGTTCATTAATAAAAATCACTAACAAATTTAGATTGATATGAAGAAAAGGCATAATAAATTTTATTATTCAGCATGCTGGGAAAGGGGCAAACCATCGGAGAATCACAAGAGAGTAATAATGTCCCAATTTTTCACTGAGCTACATACAGAGCTCATATTCATCTCCATAGGGAGAGGAGAGATGGTGGTATAGGAGTAAATTATTCTTTGGGGGAGGCAATGGGCCTGGAGAACATAAAACAGCCTGGGACAAAGTCTAATTGGCTCGCAGAGCAGTTAATGACTAGTAAATGATTTTCTTTAAAATAGTGAATGGGAACAAAATATAAGAAAAAGGTCTGTGACAAAATTTAGTCCAGGTGCATTGACGGACTCTGCTCTTCCTTCCTGTGATATGAGTAATCACATATATCATATGAAAACTCAGGGAAAGGACCAGAGGTAATTGTCTTCTTCCTTGGCGGGTCCAAACTTTTGGCAGATAAGGGAACAACTTTTTCTCATGCTTTGGCGGAGGGGGGGGGGGGGGGGGGGGGGGGGGC